AAATTGTTATCTTCTACTGTGCCTGTTTAGTCACCATGCACGGACTGTCTCTCGTCTTCGTGCTCCAGGAATTTTGATTGTATTCTTTTTGCTTCATCGCTTTTAATATAATTGTTGATTTTATTTGCTATTTGTATATCTATTTACCTGGATGCTGTCTAGTACTTTATTGCAATCTGAATCTTCTTTGGGGTATTTGCCAAGTATTAGCACTCTACTTTTCACGCATTTTCGTATGACGGACTTTGTGTTTCCCCAACCTCCTATTATAATCCAATAGCAAGGATCTCTGTCATAATTTTTGCCGTTGCAAATTAATATATGCACACCATGAGATACACGAACCGAAAATGAGAGCTTTATGTCGGTATTTAAATTAATATCTACATAATCATATAGATATCTTGAAGATTTTCATACTGTTCAAATTCTGAGAATTGTAAGTGCGCGTTATTTGAAGATTTCTTAAACATACAAATTGTTTGTAATATTATAATGCTTTCTAAATATATCACAATCTTTTATCAAATTGCGAAGCTTCTACCTTTCCATTCGTTAATCGAATACCGGACCAATAGGTGTTTTAGAAAAATTTGTAAGTCTCCAGTTGTTTTTAGTCCATGACTCCAGGCAACCTTCGTTTGCGTTCATTTTGCAATCTATCTCATTTTTGCTTTTATTTAAATCGCGGAATTCTGAAATAATGCGCGCGTTTATAATACATTGTAGGTAGGTGTAAAATAGTTGAATGCTTTGTGAATAAGTTTATTTAAAATATATTAAATTTGATAAAAATTATAAATTTTAATAAGAATTTTAGTACTCATGTAAAAATTTAAAAAATAATTTTTATTTTTAATTATATTTTGGTTTGCAATATGTAGAAATGCTTATTTCAATCTTCATAAATAAGACTTCGACAATAATCATTTGATTTTGGAGAAATAATATTCCAGATTAAATTATAGTTCCACACAAGTGCTCCGCCATCATCCTCTGGAGAGGCATATCAATTCTACTGTGTTTCCACCCATCTGAAGATCCACGCAATACGGTTACTTTTCCGAAAGTATGTAACATCTGATTCGCGACGATAAAAAACGCGAAGATAATTAGCGTATCCATCAATGTTCTCTTGTTTGTCCACGAAAATATGCTGTTTGTAAGATTAACGATTATCCATATAAAATAGAAAAAGATCAAACAACATAACAAAAGAAATATTATATATTTAATTAATTACGTTATGTCATGTAGTGTCACTTTAACAAATTTTCTGCCGAGTTGAATGGATACAGTTTTATATATCTATTGTGCTATGTACTATACATTTAAATGAAATCCGTGTGATCAAATTACTTTCCTTTATTTAAAGACAACAGCGTGCACTTCATCCACGACAAGTCAACTTATAAGATAACATAACAAAAAAATTAAATATTTTATGACGAAACGTTTTGTGTTGTGTCAGTTTTATACTAATCAGCCTGCCGGACGACCGGCAGTGCTAGGATGAAATCGACTTCCGTGATGAAAGATTCATTATGTACCAAATGTGCCTAACGCACATCAGAATATTTATATATATAGATGTCTTACCCACACACACACACACACACGCACACGCACACGCACACGCACACGCACACGCACACGC